AAAAGGATTCACATTCACAGGAATGACCAATTGTCGAGACCTAAGCAGGGTTAGAACAAGCATATTTAGCGCTCATATCAGCTTTACAACCGTGAATGATATCCAAGTTAGATATAGATAGAATAAATGACAACTCTAATAACTGCACTCTTATCGTCTTCACCCATAGACATGTGATGCGGAACCTGTAGACATTTCCTAGTCCTGCAACCCAAACTCCCATCTCGAGTCAACGGGGACTACAGACCCCCCTAGTTTCCGATCCCTATATGGAGGATTACTTCCCGCTTTGAACTGGGTAGAACGTCGAGATATTTCGAACAGGGCGCGAGCCTCTCTAGGATAGGAACCTGCGACGATCCATCTCAAGAAGTACCATCGCCATCGGGCGAGTCGTGCCTTGAAGGATGGGTTATCGACCCTATCCATAGCATGGTGTTGCATTGCTGTATACTCGACATATATGGGAAAATAGCCTGCGTATCCCCAGCCCACTATCCAGAGTCGGTCCTGTGGATCTACTATGATATTCCTGGGCGCGAGGTCTTGATGCGTGAACACATGGTGTTCTAATGGTCGTAAAAAGAGGCCAGGACGAGGAGTGAGGGTGGTCGGGCGACAGTTGAAGAGCCACCAATTTAGATACTTGGCGAGGTGAGTAGGAGAGATGTGTCGAACAAGACGATTTATTCCTTCTAGGTGAGAAGAGAAATATCGACCAGATGCTAATCCTCCGCCACGCACAGAAACGCTTTGTCGCATAAGTTTCACAATTTTCCGGAGCTGCCATGAGTAAAGTAGTGTTTCGAACCACCCGATACTCGACCATAGTTGCTCCAATGTCTTGCCTTGGATTCGTTCCATGATGATATAGTACAAACGATCGTTACCCTTGACGATTCGATAGACAGAAGGTACGTTCACCTCAATCTGTTTGGCATGCTCCAAAGCCATAACTTCGTCATAGCACCTATCGTGGGCCTTAGATTTTGAAACCTTTTTCGCAACTAGAGACTGGGAGAGAGCTGCAGTAGCTTCTTCCTGGTCGGTCACAATCCTTGGTGCATTTTCGATGGCCTGTAGAAGCTCACTGTCGGAGCATTCGAAAAGCCAATTTTCACTGAAAGTACTTTCCTGACGAGTTCAATTCCAGTCTCATGGGTTGATAAAGGCTGGACCTACCATTTGGAGTGTGGTTGAAGATTGAGTCAGCGTGAGAAGGCGGATCTAAGCAGGGTTGGATGAAGGATGTTTAGCGGTCGTATTGGCTTTACAACCGTGTTGCTTTCATGAGAAATATTACCCAAGTTAAAAATAGATGGAATAAATGACAACTCTAAGTACTGCACCCTTGCCGTCTCACCCATAGACATGAACTGTAGACACTACCTAGTCCTGGAACCCAAGCTCCCATCTGGAGTCGACGGGAACTACAGATCTCTCTAGTGCCCGATCCGTATGTGGAGGCTTGCTTCCCGCTTTGAACCGGGTAGAACGTCGAGATATTTCGAACATGGCGCGAGCCTCTGTAGAATAGGAACCGGCCACGATCCATCTCAAGAAGAACCATCGCCATCGGGCAAGTCGGGCCTTGAAGGATGGACCATTGACCCAATCCATGGCATGGTGGTGCATTCCTGTGTACTCGACATATATGGGGAAATACCCCGCGTATCCCCAGTCCACTATCCAGAGTCGATTTTGTGGATCTACTATGATATTCCTGGGCGCGAGGTCTTGATGCGTGAACACATGGTGTTCTAAAGGTCGTAAAACCAGGTCGTGACGGGGTGTGAGGGTGGTCGGGCGACAGCTGACGAGCCACCAGTTTAGATGCTCGGCGAGGTGAGTGGGGGAGATGTGTCGAACAAGAGGGTTCATTCCTTCTAGGTGAGGAGAGAAATATCGACCAGATGCTAATCCTCCACCACGCACGGAAACGCTTTCTCGCATACGTTTCACAATTTTCCGGAGCTGCCACGAATAAAGTAGCGTTCTGAACCAGCCGATACTGGACCATAGTTGCTCCAGTGTCTTGCCCTGTATCCGCTCCATGATGATATAGTACAAACTATCGGTACCCTTGACGATTCGGTAGACAGAAGGTACGTTCACTCCAATCTTTTTGGCATGCTCTAAAGCAAAGACTTCATCATAGCACCTATCGTGGGCATTAAAGTCGGCAACCTTTTTCGCAACTAGGGACTGCGAGAGCGCTGCAGTAGCTTCTTCTCGGTCGGTCACGATTCTCGGTGCGTTTTCGATGGCTTGTTGGAGCTCACTGTCGGAGCATTCGAAAAGCCGACCTTCACTGAAAGTGCTTTTCTGACGAGTTCAATTCCAGTCTCATGGTCTGGTAAGGGTAGGACCTACCATTTGGAGTGTGGTTGGAGGGCAAGGTCGAGAGTGATGAGGCGGACCTTTCCTGCTCCCGACCACATCTAGATTTCGTCGCGCACATGAGCTCCTAGCGCTCACGATTGAATAACCCAGTCGTCATTTGTTTGTTTATGTCGTCGCGCGGAATCGACAGATGCACCGCTTGAGTGATGGGCGCTCGGGAAGGGTCCACTTTCTACCGCCCATGACCCAGTGGCAATCTTCATCCAAATGGACGCTCTTTCCTTACCAGGGTCTCCATATCTCTTAAATATAGTGGACAAAGAAGACAACAAGGGATCCATGTTACTTGTCGACCGATTTTACCAACTTGAAGTGTAGTATGCAAGAATCAACCAATGCAACTTTGAACCAATCATGGTTCATCCGTTAAAAGAAGGAGCGAAGAGGATCCCAAATGTTCCAAAGGCCGACAAGGTGTTGCCACAAACAGATAGATTGATTCCCCAGTGTGCTCGGCTACCGGATAGGTCTTGTAGGTACAAGCTATCGGAAAGAACCAAAATCCGCACTGAATATCGTATTAATAGATTTGTCCAATAAATCTTTCCGCCCTCCAGAGGTGTGGCGGTTCGGCAGATCGAGAGGCATACGTAGGAGGTATACGCTTCGGAAAGAATCAAGCTCCGCAATGAGATCTAGATACACCAAAATGTTATAAAAGCCACCCAAGAACTCTCAGTTACTCATCAACTCAACTCGTACCGCTCATCTTTACACATCCTATCACTCAAGATGGCCAACGCTCCCGACGTCCTCCAACATATCACACACTCCGACTACTGGGGCACAAGTAAATTCGATAAGGCGCACTTGAACTCTCCTCTCACCCGGATCCACTATGTCGCTCACACGAATGAGGGCGACCAAGGTGATGGAGGTCTTCCCCCAACGAACCACTGGACCATCTTTCTGGAACTGGGTCAAAGCTTGTCTGTTCGCTTTGAAGTCGCCCCCAACTACCCTGCCACCGACCCAGGCATGGTCGTGCTTGAGAGTAAATCCTATGCAGTCACCAACAGGAGCTCTCGTACGATCAGTGCAGTACCTCAACATGCGGTGACCGTCAAGGATATACTCGGACTCATCATTCGTCTCAGGCGCGACCAGTACAAGTTCACCGTGGAAGGAGAGGGCTGTCGCTTCTGGTGCAAGACCTTTGCCGACGATCTTGTCAGGCAAAGGGAGCAAAGGGCAAAGCCACTACCAAGGGTTTGAAGGCCGGAAAGGGAGCTAAAGGCAAAGCGACAAACAGCAACAAGGTGACCAAGACGCTAAAAGGTACCAAGGCTGTCAAGGGTCCAAAGGCCTCCAAATCCAAGAGCTCCATCCGCGGAAAGTCCACCAAGAAGGCTACTGGTGCCAAGAACACAAATACTTCGAAGGGCGTCAAGGCTGCAAAGGCCTCCAAGTCCAAGGCTGCTTCCGCAAAGTCTTCGAAGAACGGCAAAGCCACCAAGTCCAAAGGTGCTAGTAAATCGACCAAAGCCGGTAAATCCAAGGTTTCGGCTCAGAAGAACAACAATTCGGTCAAATCTAAAGCTACTACCAAAAAGTCGTCCATCAAGTCCAAAGGTAAAGCTGGATCCAAAAAGACCACTCCCGCCAAGAAGACGACATCCAAGTCAAGAGCTGGTGCAAAGGCAAAAGCTTCTCCTTCCAAAGGGGCGTCCGGCAAGTCTGTGAACGGCAAGAAGAACTCTGCCAAAAAGACTTCCACTGGTAGGAAAGCCTCGCCCGCCAAGAACACAGGCTCAAAGGCGACCAATGGCAAGAAGAATACTCCCAAATCTGCTTCTACCCGTAAACAAGGCGGCTCTTCAAAGGTCAACAAGTCAAAGGCACCAAAGAATAACAACAAGGCGACGACAAGCAGGAAGGCAGTTGCGAACAAGGGTGGCAAGGTGGCCTCGAAGGCTGGATCCAGAGCCACCAATACCAAGAAGCAGAGCGCACCCAAAGCAAAAGCACCCCAGAAAGCCGTTCCCAAGGCCAAGGCTGCTCCTAAAGCTGTACCAAAGGCTGCAACAAAGGCCGCACCAAAGGTCGCCTCCAAGGCTACTGGAAAGAAGCCTCGCCGATGAGATCTCTCCTTCAACTAATCCGAGTTAGAAGGGCAACGCACGTAAAGGATTTAGACTACCCATAGCGTGATTGGTGCAAGTTATTTACCTTTATTAAATATCTTATATATGAAATGATCCTATCACCTTGAGACCTTTACCTGAGTTCCAAGGTTCTTTGATTGCATCAATACAAATGGGTTTCATGACAAATTACCAGTCGGAAACTCATTGGTTCGGTCCAGCCTCCCGATGCAACTCTACAAATACAAAACTATTCTGGCAATTCTCCAATCACACCATCTGCCCCGAGGGTCTGCTCCACTTGTTTATTGGCAGTATCTGCCTTATACGCTTTGGCATCTGCTGACGAAATCTCTACTATATTCTTCAGGCGTAGTGTCTTCTGCACTGTCGAACCAACTTCCTCTACGACCACCGCCGTTCCTCCACTGTGGTTGCAATCAATAGTGAGCTTGATGCGTCCTTCCCCTTTTGCCTTTGGAGACAGACCCTCTAATACGACTTCGCCCCATGGTATAGTCCCAATAGAAAATCGAAGTGTGGCGGTTGTTTGGTTGTCTTGAGATGTTGAGAGTATGACCTTTCGATCGGTTGGTAGACGTTGGTCACCAGGGAGAATTGTCACGATTTGTCCGTTGGCGAGTGTGACACCTAATGGGAGCCAAGAATACTCGACCCCACCCGAGTCGTCGACTGAAGTGACTTTACGGTTCATAAGGATGGCGGAACCATGGGATATATCGTTTAGTGAAACCCATTTGACAGGAGTGTCAGGGAACCGAGCCTCTAATTCGTTTGAAGAAAGGTTTGGGAATGCTCCCTCTGGTCGAAGGATACCGATGCAATAGGGGTGTATATGCTCTGGCACAACCGGAATGACGAGTTTGTCCATCACAGTTTGGATAGAGAGCTCGCTGATGTCACCCAGGACGACTCGCCCTCCTCCGGATCCTGTGAAGTACCACTTTTTGTCGCGAATGCCTCCATTGACGAGTGTGGCGGCGACTTGGCCTGGGGTCAGATCAATGAAGAGACCATTGATATCGCCTTTGTCGGGTGCACCGGACGCATAGCCGTTTAGAAAAGCCGTACAATGGTCATGAGAATACATTTTCTTCTTCTTGAAGGTTGACCACTGGTCTTTGGAGACAGCTATGGGGAACGCAATTGCAAATTCATTGTCGGCAGGGGTAGTATCGAAGCCCACGAGTCGAGTTATCGTATCTACAATCGCTTCGACGCTACTATTGTCGATATTACTCTCAGTAGGTACGGAAAAGGTGCCGAAGTAAGGTGCGCCGTCGACGTGCGTGATGGAAATGGGAGCATTGTCTGCGATACGACTAAGAGCGACACCTGCGCGTTGAATCATGTTATGTAGGGTGAGAGTTGAAGAAAGTTGGAGACGCAAGTGGTTCTGGTTTATATCATAAGGCTACTACGCCCGCGTGGCACAGGATGGCTCCCACCATCACCTCAATGACTGCCTAAGTGCGATTGTAGCTTGCTTCGATCTTACCTGCCTGCATTGATTTGGACGTTGGGCCCTGTTGGGATGTCCGGATAGTAGAGTGAGGTCTAATGAGTCGCCTGCACTGCCTTTTGGTCCTTAGGATCGTGCATAAGTCTCGTGGATGGACGGGAGAGATCTGACTTCAAGGAAGATGGGTAGATAGGCGCAGAAACACAAGCGGCTGGGCTGGCTGATTGTGGGCGAGTTTAGGGTTGGGGTTCAGAGCGGTGCCAGCCCATTCTCCTCCCCATCGACTCTACTCCGCATTCGTCGACTTTGCTCCGTCAGGAGTCTCTGGAAAAACTGGCTTCAGTCAACAGGCCAAAGCCTGCGAAGCCCAATCAGACGACCATCAATAGAAACTCACCGCAGTTATAAACACATCCAGCAATGTCGCCTCAAAACCTCGATCCAGAGCTATTAGAGACGAGAAGATGTATCAAAAGCGAAGGACGTCCAGGAGGCCATCTCCTCAAAGCCACAGTCGCGCTCAGATACCGCCACACTCGACCTACTGGATAGAAGCCTCGGCGGCGAGCTCTCTCGTTCGGCTAAACTCAAATTGCTAACTTTCGAAAGTTTAGGATGTGCTAGAAACCATCATTCTTTCTTATTCTCCAGTTAGTTGCTCATGTATCATGACCGGCCGGGACAATTTATACGTAATAATGATACACTTGTATCGGTAGTGCTAATAAAGATTTCTTCGTGTAGCTGATACAGGACTCGGGGCAGTACGAATCTGAACCTGATTACAGTTTACGGTTGTGCCTGAACGTCAGAATCATAAGGAATAAGGCTCGGGTCCATAGATTATGATTCTGAGTATTGATGGAGAGAGTATGTGTCTTGTTGAAACCGACAAGTCGAAATGACGCGTCAAGACGCGTCGACGATGAAGATAATTGGGTTCAAACATTCCAGCAGCGGCATGACGCATTGACGCATTGATGCACACCCACTGTATTCAGCAATGGTACTAACGCGTGATATTTGAATATTAAGTAGTGAAACGGTCTACGTATCGTATTACCAGCATAGGCGAAATCTCCGCTCTTGCCGTGTTTACACTGTAAGGATGGGATCATTTGCGGTCGTGGACTGAGGCAGTTGAACAGAGTAGATTGGTTGTTCCCAAAGTATGACCCTCCTAGACGTGACTATATCATTATTGCCATGGGGATGGGGGGTGTTCCCTCATGAGGGAGACTGAGTAGGGCTTAGAGATACTCAGAATAATAATGCAACGAGAATAAGGATATACAAAAGAGTTGGAAGATTCAAAGAAAAGGGAGGAATGACCCAAACCGAAGGAGCAGCGAGGGTTGGTCGAGAGAAGAGAAGCTGGTGCCACCACACTTTCTTTGGGACCGCATCGCAACTCTGCACTCATCTCCAGGGCCCTTTGTATTTTGTTCCAGACGCAGACCCAGCGA